ACTGTAGTGTAGACATACCCTTATTCTTCCTGAGGCCTGGTCTATACCTAAAACTTAGGTCGGCCTAGCTATATCACTCAGAGCTGTGAAAACTTTCACAACCTGTGTGATGTAGTTAGGTCAATCTAACCTTGGATGTAGATGCAGAAAGGTCAATGGAAGAATTCTTTGTTGCCCTAACTACTGCCTCTCCCAGAGATGGATTAACTGCATCAATGGAAAAACCCCTTCTGTCGATGTAGGAAGTGTCTACACTAGTCACTCATTTCTACTGGATATTGGGATGAATGCGCACTCTCCAGTCCCTGGGTCTCCCTCTCCCAGGCTCCCTGCTGATGCAGAGCCTATATTTTCTCCCCAAAACCCCAGTTAATTAATTCTGTGTCCCTGCCACTCCCACATCTGCCTGTACCCAGCCCAGCTATTAATTCTGCTCCCCAACCCAACATCACTTCTGTCCACAGCCCCTCCACCAATTGTAACCCTGCAGACCCCATACCTGCCTCTCAGGGCCCCTCTGCTCCTCCTGCAGCTCCAGGGGTTCTGCACCCCCTCCCATCCCTGGTGCTGCAGGGGCAGGGGTGGAGTTGGGGCAGGGGGTCGTGAGCACCCACCGGCACCAGGAGAAGTTGGCGCCTATGGTTGGGTAGACTGGAGTCTTCCAGGTCATAGGAGCTAGGATTATTTGGCTAGAGAAGCCCATTTTTTCATTCTCAGTGGGCTGTGCCCATCATGTCTCAGTGACACTGTCTAACCCAGGATCCCCAGAGTCCTCCTGGATCATAGAGAACAGTGGCAAACAGACTGCACAATCCCTGGGGCAATGAAATTTGCTTCGCTGCCTCGCTCACTGAATGCTCTCTATGGTTTGACAGTCCAGAGGCTGCACAGAGGTGAGACCTGATGCAACCTCCTGCATGATAGAAAGTCCATAGGAGGAGATCATAAAGACTACACTTTCTGTGGGTAGAGAGGCTGATTTCAGGGTCCCCAGTGAGATGTTCCTCTCCCTCCCCCTCCGCCCCATGTCTCAGGGACACAGTTTGAGCCGGGATCCTGCCCCCAGTATCCGGAGCCAGGGTCGGATTCTCTCCTCAGGGACAGAGGCCAGTGGGAAAGTGAAGATCGGGGCCTTGTCACCAGCATCAATAAATGTCACCTGCCCCCGCTCACAGTCCAGACAAACCTGGATCCTGCTGGGGACCCGGCTCAGGGGCAGGAGGGTCGCAGGGGAGGTGAGAGCCTGAAACTGACCCCTGCAGCACTGCACAGCCCAGATCCCGCCCCCTCAGGGTTACGGCTGATCCATCTCTTCCTCCTCACAGACTCTCTGGCTACCCCCACAACCTAGTATCCCCCAACCCCCATCTCCCAGTAATGTCTCCCCGAGGTGAATCCCTCACAGCCCAGCACACAGGGCTGTGTCAAATCTCTCAGGGGTGTCAGGCAGATCCTACTGTGTGTGTCTGCCCATCTCACACTTCTGATCCTCAGACAGGATGAGGATGGGCTGAGCCGTGTCTGGATCCAGAATCACATTCATGGGGGGAGAGAGAGAATCAG